ACGCAAAGACCAACTAAAACACGTCGACTTGGAAAAGTCGAAAATAAAAGAATGGGTGAAAATATCAGGCAAACGCAAACAAATTACAGTAGAGATTGTGGTTTAATATTAAACAAAGATGAATTGTGGGTAAAAGCCATTAAGATCAGGAACATTTATCACAGGAAAGACTAAAGTTCACAATGAAGATATAACCGGTACATGTTAATGCATTAACTCAGAAAAACTCATAAAGAAAAAAAATAAAAGGAAATTTGTTAAGAAATAGAAACATAGTAGTGGTAGGAAATGAACTCTTCACAGTTTATGACCAGCCAAGTGACCAAAAATTAGGAAAAGATGTAGAAGACTAATGTAATTAACGTAGCTCTGACGTGTATCACAGAACACACATGTGCACGTACATGTACATACAGAGTGGGATGTGCCTTTTCAAGTGCCCGTGGAATATTGAGACATGCCGATTATACAGGGTGGGGCAAAAATAGTTTTACAGTTTGTATGGAAAATAATACAATAATTAATAAATAATAATGCAAGAATAAACTCTGTTTTGTGTACTCACAACTGTGGACCTACTTTTGCCCCATGCTGTTTACTAGTCACTTCGAAAGAATCCCCTCTTTTCATAATTTCTACAAACAGCAATAGTTTAATTTCTTGTAATAGCATGTGGGTTACTCAAGACCAGCCTTCCCTGCTGAGGGCAACTAGAGAAAAGTAGATAAAATATAAATTAAACAGTCAACAGCTTTCTTAAAACCTCCGGGGTTCCGAGGAATTCAGTCCAAGATTCAGGAGGTGGCTCACACCCATGTCACCCAAAGAGCATCTGCTGGCCTGGAAGGAGGAATAGCCCAACTGAGCTGAGCTCTGTGGCCTTGAAGGTCAAAGCCCAGGCCCATCAAAGGCGCTGTGTTGACAAACATGCCCCACAGCCACCCCCTAAGGTGCCGGGCAACCAGCACTAAACCAGGCCTCCCGGATGCTGGACAGGCTAGAGGTCACCTGAGTCCTCAGGGAATTTCTCTTACGCCAAGTCATTGTGAAGGACACGGTGACTCAGCAGCCAGGAGATGCCACTGGCCTTGAGAGAAATGCTATGGTCGTCAGTGGAGCAAAAATTAAAGATGATAAACCAACCCGATGGACCTTGGGTATATATTCAACTTGAATGGTGACAGTCCTTTCCTTTTTAAGCTCTGACTGTCCAGGTTTCCCTAAGACTGTCCTGCGCAGGAATGAACTCCAGCCCACTCGTAGCTCCAGCTGGGGGCTGCCAGGTGAGCAGACACCATCCGACTTCTCTCTCCAGCCTGTCACACTTCCCATCGAAAAATGGGAATACTTCTCCCTGGTCGGTGTGGCTCAGTGGTCAGAGCATCGGCCCACCCACGGAAGTGTCGCTGGCGTGATTCCTGGTCGAGGGCCCACACCTGGGTCGCAGGTTCGATCCCTGGCCCCAGCTGGTGCTCGTGCGGAAGGCAGCCAATCAGTGTGTCTCTCTAACATCCCTCCTTCCCTCTCGCAGCCCCCTCCCACTCTCTAAAAACCTCTACTCTCTCTGAAAATCAGTAGAAAACATATCCTCAGCTGAGGATTTACAACAAAAAATGGGAGTACCACCACCGCCAGTCTGCGCGTGCTGACAAACGGGAATTTGAAGCAATGTAATTAAGTACCTTACTGTTAAATTATGTAAGTTGCTCAGGTGAAACCATCTGAGACAAGGTGCTTGACGTGAGGTGGAAAGTGAAGTCTAAAGGGAGGGAACGCCGCGCTCTCCGCATCCCGTGTCGCCCCAAGGGAGTAAATCAGCTTCTCTGGCAAGACTGTTACTAGACTTGGGACAGCGCTGCCTGGGACACCGTGACTCGCGGGGCAGGTGACAGGAGGGGTTCGTGCAGATGAGCACCTAACAGGACCAGCTCTCTATGCTCCCCCGAGACGGGGAAGGAGACATCAGCCCCATTTCTCTCTGAGCCACAGAATTGATGTTCATGAGGCAGGACAGTGAAGGCAGAAATCCAATTACTGAGCTAATTAGCACCTTTGAGTGGTAAGCACCAAATTTACTGGGGGAAAGCACTGGAGGAAGCTCAGATTACCCCAGAGGACTGACAGGTCACCTTCGTGGAGTGTGCGGTGGGGGCCCCAGCCCCGGGTGACAGGCAGCTGGCCTAGCGGCGGCTGCTCAGAATGCAGGGCCCTGCAGCTGCAGCCGTTTGAAAACAGAGTTTCCCAGTTAGCATCAGCTAGAAGGTGGAGGAATCCCCTGAGGAGTTTGGTAAATGACTTTCGTTTGGCTCAGTCCCACTTTCAAAATTGTTTATTCCGCTGCTGAAATTCCATTTGTCCTAGGTCTTAAGGTGAAATTAAAACTCCATTTAGGGACGTGCTGTGTCGACAGGGGATTTCGACCTTCATCAGGAAGAATTTTGTTGTTCGCTTTGTTTTCTGCCCCCTGGGCTCTTTCCTTTTCAAAGCCCGCCTGAAGGCATTTGGAAGGAGCCGTGAGGTGGTGGTAGAGCGGCCGGCGCCGATGGCCCCGTGAGACGTCCCGGGATGTCCCTTCCCTCCGGGCCGGGCCGCAGTCGGGATCCTGCCCAGACGGCTCACAAGTACCCGGGCATAGAAGGGAGAGAGAAGACTGTCTTTTCCGAAGACAGAGCTTTTCATTTACTCACTCAAATCACCTTTCGATCCAGGCATCTTTTTTTTTAAATCCTCAAGGATATGTTTTTATTGATTTTTAGAGAGGAAGGGGGAGGGGGAGAGACATAGATGTAAGAGAGAAACATCTCTCAGTTGCCTCCTGTACGCAACTCAGGGGGCTCGACCCCGCAGCCTAGGTATGTGCCCTGACTAGGAATCGAACCCTTGACCTTTTAGTGTATAGGATGTCACCCCCACCAGCCAAGCCACATGGCCAGGGCCAGGTGTTCTTTTCATCTCTTCTAATTTCCAAGAGACAGATTCACAGAAGTCCGCTTTCGGAGGTTTCTTTTTAAGCACCATTACTAACAAGTGTTCGTCATTTGTCAAGTCATACTCAGGTGTCAACGACCAAGTTGAAATGTGGCAGCCACTGTCCTTTCTTCTTAGCAGGTGTCGTGAGAGCAAACAGCTTCAGATGCAGCATTATCTTTGACTGTTCATTTGTTCATTCAGCGAATACTTATTGAGTGACTACTTCATGCCAGTCGTGAGCAGCAGCTTGCCCTGCGATACTTAGGCTCTGGTGCGAGAGGCAGATAAGTCAAGTAATCAGCCCTGGCCAGTTTGGCTGAGCGGTTAGAGCGTCGCTCTCTCACATCGATGACTCTCTCTCCCCCTTCCATTCTAAAAATCAATAGAAAAAAATCCTCAGGTGAGGTTTTAAAAAACATCAAATAATCACGCAAAGAAATGTGTGGCCTGGTGTGGAGTGAAGGCTCCAGAGCCAGCCCATCCGGGCTCAAAGCCGGGCTCTGCCACCTGCTAGCTCTGTGACCTCGGGCACGTCACTTAACCCCACCGCGTCTCAGACCCCTTCTCCGAGACAACGGGTAATACCTGTAAGCGACTTATATAAGTAAGTGCTACTTACTCCGTTATGATTAGACACATGGTAATTCTGTCATCACTGTTAGTAATACCACCCACGGCGAGAGGTGCAGTGCGTGGGACACCGCATGGCACGTGGGTCTCACCGGGAGCGGGCCTGGGAAGGCTTCCCGGGGAGCTGGGACTTGAGCTAGACGAAGGGTGAGNAGGGGGCTGGGACTTGAGCTAGACGAAGGGTGAGAGGAGTCGGGAGGAAGAGAGGGCGGGACTGGAAGGGCGTGGAGGGCACCCAGTCCCAAAGGATGCAGGGGAGGGGTGTCGGGAGTAGGAGGTCACGTGGACAGAGGCCAGCGGGGTGGGAGCAGAGACAGCGACGGACAGAGTGACAGCAGGGTCAGGGGACGGGCGTGCTAAAGGTCAGTTCTTTCACAATTATTGTAGGACCCTCATTATGTTCAAACTTGTACGTAACCCTTGTTCAATGACATAGTTGTAGTGAAAGCCCTTTCTTAATGGCTTAGGTTTAACCGTATGAAATTGCCATTTTTATGGGTCATAAATAGCTGAGTATCACCAACTTCACATGGTCGACATCAGTTCCATATTTCACCCTTCAAAGTAATGACGAGACCACCACTCAGGGTCTGAACCAAGAAGACGGTGCTGGGCAGGCACAGTCTCCGAGCAGAGCAGACTGCGGCAACTGTGAGGGGCGCCGGGACGGGTGAAACTCGGGGACAGGTGAGGTTTTAGAGGCATCAGTGGGGTGGCACCACCTCCACAGGCAGTTATTGGGGAGACTGGTGGTGGTGGGTCACCCCTCAGAAGTCTGGAGTGAGTCTGTCCCTCACCCTATGGCTCTTAGAAGCAAGGGGCCACCGTGGATTGGCCGGTTTACAAAAGCTGTGGACTGAGGTCACTTGTCCTGCTGAAGAGGTTTCAAACTGGCTCTGGTGGCCACTTGTGGCCACGGCTGCCGGCAATCTGTCTTCTCCTAAGTTGGTGAGAGCTGTTTGCGTCTTGGTGGTTCACCCTAAGGAGGCCTGTAAGTCCACCCCCAGCTCTTGGAATCAAGTGGTGGAGACGGTGACTGCTCGCCAGGGTTTCCTGGGGCCGGTTTGAGAAGAAAGGTGCCTGTGGCTGCATCGCTGTCAAGCTCTGAGAGCGGGTGGCCCTGCACTGGCAGCCCAGCGCCTGCTTTGGTTTTTTGGGTCCGGGGCTCCAAATGGGTGAGGCGCGAGGCCATCTCCCTGGTCCCGTCTCCTCCACGTGATTCTTGCATGTCTCCCTCCGTCTTCTGTACCCTGAGACCCCCCCTCTGCAGCGCTGTCAAATGGGAGCCACCACCCGCATGGGCCACGTGAGAGCTGCATCTGCCCTGGGCTTCCCGCCACGCGCGGCGCTCTCACTCGGAGGCGTCTAACCACGGCTTTGCATTTTGTGGCCCCTTGTAGTACGAGGCGCGTGGATAATTCCAACACAAGGCTGGTGGTCCAGATTGAAAGGGATCCAGGTAAGGCGTCCCCTTCCTTCTCTTTTATTAAGACCATTTACTTGTTGTATAGATGGAGCCCTTCAATCCAGAGGGAATTCAGGACGCACTGTTTTAAGCTGTTGTGGAGACAGCGCATGTCTTGGTGACCGTGCGGACTGGAAGGCAGAGCTGTGCGGATAGACTGGGCAAGCACAGGATGTGGTCTGGAAGTGAATTCGTCCATTATTTAGGATTGATTCAGTATTAAATGCCTCTGTTAATTAAGACCTGTTTGTTTCTGTGCGATAAACATCAAATACAGACTATAAACCTTGCTCTTTTAGTATAAAATTCTTTGGAAAATGAGCTGTATAGGACACTGACTTGTCCCTAAAGGCAAGTCTTTCCACGGCCCACGATCTAGGGTCCAGAAGCCTTTGGAAATTTTGTTCAACATTAAGCTATGGAAGGATTTACCTGCTAGAAAATTATTTTACTTTTTTCTTTCCATACTCTAATTTTTAATCATTCTACCTCTTTTTGCTCATATCAGAATGCAAATTTTAACTTGTTTGTTTATCTACTTCACTCTCTCCTGTGCCAGAAATTTTGTTTAGGGAGAATCGTATCATGCGTATTATGTGTTTGGATTCCATGTACATGATTAATTCGAAATCATCAGTTGAAATTTGAAACTAACTGGAGAGACAGGTTTATTTCTTTGTTGAACTTTATGTCAGTACAACTTAGAGGTGGGTACAGATAGCTCTAAAGTGTAGCTGGGGGACTTGACACTGCAGGGCCATGGATATTGGGCACATGGACAGTGTCACAAGGGCACTGCGCCTTTAGTTATTCATAATTTTGTCTCATTTTATCTAATTACACAGATGTATGGTCATTGTGTTCTGAGAAGATCTCCACTTTGGGTGGATTCAATGGTTTTGTTGATTTAAGCATCAAACAGTTTGAACAATTAAGCAAAAGTTAATTTTCTCATTCAGGCCCTTCCTTTAAAACTGCAGAGACTCAAAATAACCTCTAATTAGTGTCTCAGAGTCATCATAGAAAATGAGCGTGATGCGGGTCAGGCAGGCTTCACCTGCGCAGAAAGTGAGCACACTGACCCTTCATTAGACTACGTGACAGGACTCAGCCCACACAACAGTTTATTTCTTTCAAGTAATCATAATTAGGTTACAAATACACTAATTTCAATTCAGCTTTTTACTGTCATGAATGCCTAGCAACGACGTTTATAATTTGATAGTATTGTCTCAGAGATTTCTCAGAGGTGGCTCGGCACACTTAGGAAGGAGCACCTAGGGCCAGCCTTCCCCTTTCTGCCCCCCAGTCGTGCTTCAGTTTCCAAAGGGAAGAGCAGGGAAACCCAGTTCAGACCCATAGTCCATCTTGGACCTCCCTGAGTCTGCCCCACTCCAATATCGCCCAGACTGGAGCCTGGAGTTTTCTTCTGAGCAACATTGTGCATCTCTGACTTTCCAGAGCCAGCATTTACTCCCCAAAGAAAAGATTCTCCTAAAATAAAAGTTCTGAACGTAGACTTTCCTCCACCCACGAGACCCAACCCAGGAGGACTTCCAGTCCATTCCGTCTTCTCAAAAAAGTCTCTCTCCTTCACCATGAGACATGCAGTGGAGGGAGCGAAAGGAGTCGGGGCCCAGCAGTGGGATAGAGGAAATGCACCATGGACCCCAAATTCCACACCGCCCGAACACACAGACCCAGGGCTGCCGCTGTGAAGCAGGCCGTTCTGTCATTTCATCTTTGCTGTATCTGTCTGTCCTTCACCCTCCCCTTGGTGCCATCACCCACCCAGTTAGAGTGGCTAAAGCTGAACAAACAGGCCATAGTTGCTCCCACCGAGTCCTGGCAAGGAGGCAGATACCCCGAACTCTCAGTCACCGTGAAGGGGGGAGTAAAAAAATGGTACGGCCACCCCAGAGGACAGCAATCCCACCCCCAAGGGTTTACTCTAGAGAAATGACAACTGTTCCCACAAACTTCTGTTCATGGATATTTTAGTGGGTTTACTCATAATCACCCAAACTGGAAACACCCCAATCCTTCACTGATGAGTGAATGAACACACTGTCGTCCATGCGCAGGACCAGTGCTCAGCAGCGAGAGAGAGCACACCACGGCTACGTGCAACATGGGTGATCTCAGTGCCTCCCCCGAGGGCTGGTTACAGGACTATAGGCATTCTTTAAAACCCATAGGATTGTACACTGAAAAGGGTGACTTTTACTCTGCATAAATTATTACTCAATAAATCTGAGTTTCATATACATATATAATTTTAAAACACTAAATGGAACCTACATATAATCTAATAATTTATATCTATTTCTATAATACGTAATATATATTTATATATGATATATAATACTAACAACAATTACCTATATGCTAGCAGATAGATAGATAACTAGAGTGAGCTATTTACTGTTGATAAATTATACCTCAATGACTTTGATTACAAAAAACACCCTGGAGTTACTTAATAGGTATGTTCTTAAAAACACAATTTCTCTTAAAGAAGCCGAACAGTCTGTGGTGTTATCTGTTATTCAGCAGATATTTAGTTAATCATGTCAGAAATTCTGCCAGTGTCGGGATATAGAAATAAGCAAAAGAGACATAGACCCATCTTTCTTCACTTTATGGTGTGTTGGAGGAATCAGATGTTAGTCAAATGGCCATAAAAGCAAATACACACAAAAAGCAAAAGTCCAATTTCAACTGTGACCAGTGCGTCTAAGCAGAGGATCACGGTGCTGAGAGCTGGGAAGAGGGGGTTTGGCCCAGCGGGTGGTCAGAGGTCCCCTGAAAGGTGGTCAGAGGTCCCCTGAAGGGCGGTGGAGCTGCGAGCTACAGATAGTAGAATTAAAGCAGCGAGGGATATGCGACAACCCAGGCCCAAGCTCGGTGTCTACAAAGGCCCAGGGAGGGAAGCGCACGTGAGGCACTCGAATGAATGAAGATCCGTGTTGCTGAGACAGAGGGTGAGGAGGACCTTGTGTGAGGTGAGGATGGTGACAAGAAGGGAGGGGATGGCGCAGTGCCTCCTGTGTGGCCATGTATCCTGGGCTTGCTCAGGACCGTCCTAGCCTATTCCTGTGAGTGATGAATGACGTGGGACCCTCCTGTGAATGATGAATGACGTGGGACCCTGTTGTAGGTGGTGGTAGGAAATCTTGTCTCTATGTTAACGGCACTGAGAAACCACCAAGGGCTCTAAGTAACGGGGCTGGGGGGCCCTGGGTAGCACGTCCAAGTCCAGCCGTTCAGTTTAAAAAGCTGATTCCGCCTGGTGTAGAGCAGATCGGCGGGTCCCAGCGAGGATGCATGGGCGATCCACCCGACCGCCCCACTTGTCCGCCTGAGGAATCACGTAGCTCGGGATGGGAGACAGGTCATGGAAATGGGGAAAGGTAGAAAGGTGCGAAAATATCAGAAGAAGATAAAATGGAGAGGCTTGGGTGTGAAGGAGCGGGACCCAAGGTCCCTAGGCTACAGCTGACTGGCTGTCGGTGCCGTTCACCGAGATAGGGAACAGAATGGGCCCGACCTGGGCGTGTTGAAGGTGAGGAGCCTCTGAGACATGCAGGGGGGTGTAAGTGGGCAAGTGGGTGTGAGGTCTAGAGCGCAGACGAGTGGCCACAGCTGGACAGAGGAACTTGTAAGTGGCCGCACTTAGACCCTACTTCAAGCCTCTGTGTAGGTGAGAATGCCTGGAAAATGCATAAAGGGACAAATAGGAGGCCTCACGAAATCCACTGAAATGGCTGAAGCATCTGAAAAGCCTTGATCAGATGACAGCTGTGCTTCCCAGGGCTGAGCGCGGGGGCAGGCATTCACCTGGCGTGTTTCTCGTTCTCTTTAGCCAACGATGACAACAATCTCAACTCCATCTTTTACGAGCACTTGACAAGGTCCCTCCAGGAGTCCCTCTGCGGAGACTTGGTTCTCGGCCGGTGGGGGAACTACAGCTCCGGCGACTGCTTTATTTTGGCCTCAGATTACCTCAATGCTTTTGTTCACCTGATTGAAATTGGAAATGGGCTTGTCACCTTTCAACTGCGAGGACTGGAGTTCCGAGGTAAGAATCCCCGTGCTGTGGACGCTGTCGGAGGCACTGAGGAGGAAGGACTCCATGCCTGCCTGGTAGAATGAGACCCCGGGGGCTCGCCCAGCCGCCCACACCCGGGGTCCCCACATACACGGTCACCCGAGGGGGTGAAGACGGGAAACGTGGTCTGGTGTAAGCCTGTGGGGTAGCCAGGCAGGACTTTGGTTCGGTTCTTCTGGGGAAAACTCAGAAGCCACGGGAGGTCGTGGGACATGCATGGGCTCCATGTGGGTTCAGCCAGACCTAAAGCTGAGCCTGGTTCTGTGGGTCACGGGTATGGGGGTTGGTGAGGGCAGGTGGGCAGGGTTCAGAGCCAGTCAGAGTGGCTGCCTCACACTGTTGTGTGATCTAAATGAGACAATGTCTGCGCAGGCCCTGCATGAATGGTCGTCGCTCTGGTTGCTGCGTCCACCTGAACCTTGAACGTCTGGCCCAGTTTTCCCATCAGGTTGTGCCCTGGCGTGTGCGGGGATTAGGGTGACAGATGCACTCAGGTCCCTGTCCTGTGCTCTCTAGTTATATCTTCATTCACCGCATGTCTTCCTGGCACCTCCTCTGTGTCTGGCTAAGTTGTAAAGCTGGAGACTCAGTGGGCACGTCGCCTGAAAGTCTCACCCAGGTGGTGCTCACCTCCAGAGGGAGGCGTGCAAAGTAACCAGTAAATGTGAGCAAACTAGCGCCGGGGCGGGGAAAGAGCTGGGAAGGAAGTGAATAGATAAGGTTCTGGGACCTTAACGTTACTGAGGGGGTGAGGTGAGCAGCTGCTGCGTGAGATGCGCTGGTCAGGGGAGGCTGGAGCAGAGGACGGGAGGATGACTGCCCAGGCCAGGGACCCACGGTGCTGGATTGACAAGGCAGGAGCCCTGGGAGCATCCTGCACCGGGGGGCAGCAGGAGGCCCGGGCACATGGGGCCTTGATGCAGGGTGAGGGGACTGCATTCTATTCTGAGCAAAATAGGGAGCCACGGAGGGTTCTGGAAAGTGAAATGACTCACCTGATTTACACTTTGAGGTTGTTCTGGCAGCTGTGTGGGGAATGCACTCAAAAGGGACAAAAGCAGAAATGGGAAGACCATTTGGGAATGTCTGTAGCCACCCAAGCAGAGGGGGATAGTGGGGACAGAAGAGCTGGGAGGTGGGGAGGGCCAGGGCGGACCAGATGATGGGGGGAGGTGAGGCTCCATGTGCTCCCGGTGTCTAGGTGGGGTGCCTCGGCGGGCGGAGGTGCAATTCCTGAAACCAGGAGCCGGGTGAAGAGCAGGGTTCCTGCACCTGGAGGTGTGAGCGAGAGCTCCTTTTTGGATATTTTCATTTTAAATGCCCTTGATTCATCCAAGTGAATATATCCTGGAGCTAATTGGACAGACGAGTCTGATGTTCCCTCAAGGAGACATTTATCGAGCCCTGGGCTGGGCGCTGTGAACGCAGAAGCGAAGGCCCCACTTAGGAGCTCTCAGCCTCCCTGGGAAGACGGACCCGAATGAGCAACCGGTGCCCAATGAGGGCCGACGGGGCCCGGGGACAGAGAGGGGAATCGGACTGGACGGGCTGAGCGAAGGGGAGGCCGTGG